ATATATATATATATATATATATATATATATATATATATATATATATATATATATTCTCCATTGGCAAACCTTCGATCAGATATTGGCGCCCATTCGTAAACTTCATTAAAAATTATATATTCAAAAAAGAAATAATTATGATTCTGAAGATATCAATGGAACTGAGGTTGCAACGTGCACCTAAAATGTAAGTCTAAGATCGGACAGACAGGCGAAAACAAAAACAGACTTACTTCCGAGAGTTTTCCAGTATCTCTTCTTTTACTGCCAAACTTTGGCTGGAATTCAAATATGCACCTTCCAATCCAGCAGACAGCTTCAAAACCTGATCTTGCATCAAGGAAATGAGTGGAGAAACAACCAGCGCCACTGAACCGGATTGTTTCTGGCGTAGTAAGGCTTATTAATAAGTGCCAAGTATACCTGAAGAATAGCAGCCGGGATTTGGTAGCACAGTGATTTGCCGGCTGCAGTAGGTAAAACAGCCAGGGTCGATGTGCCCAGCAGAGTGCGCATAATAATCAATTCTTGGCCGGGACGAAATTCGGGGAAACCCATTTTATTCAACATCGCGTATGCCTGTTCTCGGAAACGTTCCACCGTATTTTCAAAGTTTGGTTTTGATTGCTGTGTCAAACCTTGTCCACGATTCAAGTCCTCGAGTCGAGCAGGCTGGTAACGCTTATCGAGCTCTTTCGCGTCCAGTATTCTCCAAATAGCTGTGGCCAGTTTGGACGCGTAGCGGTTGTTTGTTCCCGGTTCAATGGGAGTTTTGGATTCCATAAGAGTTGAAGGACATTTATTTGCCCAGTGTCCCGTAGCTCCACAACGAAAACACTTCGTGTCTTCTTTATTCCATGAGGAAAACTTACGCTTGAACTTTGCAAAACGAACCTGACGTTGCAATGCACGCTGACGCATCGCACCTTTTTTGCTGAAACATTTTTTTCGCAAATTCAGCTTCAAATAGTTTTTCGTGGGTGCTTTGAAACCTCTGGTAGTGGAAATTGGATGAGATCTTTGTGTTTTAGATGAAATTTCGGTTCGGGGCTGTTTGTTTGCAGTCGTTGTACAGCGTGCAACCGTATATTCAGTTAGTGGCTCCGAAAATTCCGGTTCTTCAACATCGCGAGTTTCAAGTACGGATGGAACTTCCGGTGATTCCACTGATGCATTTTCAAAGCAATTGAAATCCTCCGGCAAGATATTGTTTGCGGAGTTTGAGGCAATGACATCGAATTTATCAAGTTCAATAGCTTTTCCCAAGAAAGACCCATGTTTGGACAAAATTCGACCACACTTTTGACTGCACTTTAAGTCATGGCTATAAACGACAACTGGTGCATCACTTTCCATGATAATCTTTGGAGCGATGGTTTGTGTCACACAGCCGTTTGTTTCTTTGAGGGGAGTTTTACTCGCCAATGGTATGTCACTCACAACTTTACCCTCAGACTCTGGATAGGTGCAGTCAAGATTGAGTTTCTGTAAAACACGTCTTGCCGCGCTGGAAGGTGCTTGAGGTGCCAAAGGAACGGGACTTGCTAGATCACGATTTAATTTCACTTTTCTGGCAAGTTTCTCCTGACATGAAATCCGAACTTTGGTGGATCGGGATGAAGCAATTGACGGACGGACGTCCCACGGATTGACTTCCATTTCTCTTCCAATGGTCTTGCAAAATAGAACAGAGAAGAGAAAAATGTAGGACCAATAACACCCTTGCCAAGATCAAAACACGAACGGATATGTGCCCTATTCAATGAGGTGAACTTTTATAATTGCGCGCATGAAGGGATGCGATCACCGGAGTTCATAAATCTGCGTCCGTTTGTGCAATGAGCCTCGCAAGATAGAAAAAAGACGGATGGAGAGACGTTGTTTAGTCTAATTTGCCTTTTCACTGACAGTTATTAGGTCAACGGTTCTCGTGATTGAACAGTTCCCCTTTCATTTTGAACAAACATTAAACATGCATCTTCGGTTTCGGATGCCATTCTGTGGTTACCTATTTAGATGAAGGAGTAAAAGGAAGATTGGGGAGTTCAAATCAATGTCATCGGGAACGTCTCAAAAAATTGAAAAACCTGTATTTGACTTCACCCAAATGATCCCAAACAATTGCTCCAACTAATCCCTGAACACTCGTCGATCTTTTTTGATACGACTTCAAAAGGCTTCCATATTGTTGGTGTGCAATTCCGTCGTTGGATGGATAGCTTCATCAGTGATTGAAACGAAAATATATGAAACCAAGTACTGACAGCCGCCGAAAGCCTCAGTATGGTCGGAGTAGTGTCTCGAGTTGGGACTGGTCACTAGTCCCCTTCACCTCGCGCAATGCATCTATATGACTAAGTGTCCCGAATAGCCCACAATGAGGAAGCCCTATTCAATGCTTTCTCATGACGGAGGTCCTACCAAAAACATATCAAAAAGTGTGCGGTGAAACACAAAACAATTTTGTTATCTCAGTTATTTTCTATTTTCCCGTATTCAACTGTTTCAACTTCTTTCCACTTCGCTCTGTATCCCGATCTATCTATCTCCTATTGTTGTTATTGTTATTATTGTTGTGGCGTTGGCACCATGCTTGTTCACAATCCGGTGCAATGTATTTATATATGATGAACTACTGGTAGTTTACCTATTGTTAAACCCCTGATTCTAAACCAAGAGGCGCACGAACCACATACCCGGCTTCATAAACAGGGTTATACCACTGTGGGGTAAATAGCCTGATGCAGTATTTAACTGTATGAGTGTTGAATCATCTAAGAGAAAACCAGAAAAGTTTTGAGCCGTAGTATTTCCTGAATTCGAGTGCAGAAATTTAAAAGTTAGGTTTTATTATCCGGAAATTTCTAACACTGCCCTCAAGATAAAAATACTGGCTCAGTGAGCTGGATGCCAACGACACCGCCGACAACACAAGATACGAGAAGCCCAGTTGGCAAGGGCCATAAATCCACCTGTAGGAAGTTAGCTGAACCAAACCTATTTCGCTACGAGGTTTCGGGTTGTCTTCACGCCAAACAACACACCTCGGAAGCTTAAGAAAAAAATTACTTTGACTGCAGTAGGCACGTGTACAGATGCAGCAAAATGATCATGGCTACTTTGTGCAAACCCATGTTTCTGACTTTTATATTCAAGAAAAAAATCTAAAACTTGAAGCGTAGTACCATCACATTTATGAAGGAAGTATCGTTTCGGGAAACAGGTCCACGTCTGTGCACAGAGAACGTGTAGCCAAAAAGACTACAAACCCTTAAAATGTCGATGTAAGTACCGAAAGAAAAACAGGGTTTATTACCACGATAAACATGAGAAAGCTATGGCTTTGTGACAAAAGGTCTTGGTGTCCTCTTCTGACAGAACGTTACAACTGCAAAATGGAAAATAGAAAGATTCCAACGACCGCCTTTGCGCGACACATCGAAATTTCAAACCACCCCCGAAAACTCCTGAAGGTCGAATTTGAAGGTCCAATGTCCAGTCCAGTCCAGTCCAGTTCAGTTCAGTTCAGTTGCACAGGACGAATATGGCTCTTGCCAATCGAG